TGATCTTCGTGAAAGTAAATATACAAATCATCATAAAACTCCAAACCTGCTATGAAAATGCTTATTAAAATAACATATTCTTCATACTCTCCGGACATTATCGATAGCTCTGCAATGCCTAAACCTACCACTCCAGCGGAAAACGTCCCTATAAATCGGTTGATACCTTTGCTGAGTGTTGCACCTACGAAAATTTTCCGATCACATCAGCTAAAAACAACTGTCGATAGTAAGTCGTATAACTTATGGACTCGGGTGTAAGTGGATCCTAACCCCTCTCTCTCCCTCTCTCTGTCTATATATATATATATATATGTATATATTACTTACCTACGCTGAACTCGAAGATCAAAACGACAGTGAGAATTGCCCAGATTGAATATTGACTGGCACCCCTAAGGGACTCTTTGAATAGCATAAGCAACGAGACGGAGGTTAGCGTGAGCCCAGTTTTGAAGGCGAAAAAGATCTTACGAGGATCCAATCGGCCCATTTTATATAACTTGACAGTGAGTTCTTGAAGGCCATTCCACAAGTACTCAATCGAATCACAGCACGATCGGAAACACCGGTCTTTAACAACATCCTCGGCGCCACTCGAGGCGTAGGAGCCTAATCCCGAATAGCCTTTCCTCGAAAGCAACCTTTCTTTATTCTCCGCACCATTCAAAAAAGACCTCCCCGTCATTTTCTCTGCATCAAACAGATCAAAAACAGAAACAGTAATTTACAAGACCCGAACAAGATCTCCAAGAACAAACATCTGGGTTCAAGGGATACGGAAGAAAGAAAAATAGGGTACGAGTATGATTTGATCTACATGAATTGAATGATGGTGGATTTGGTTTTTGATTGAAGAGGAGATCCAAAATAGAAAATTTATGAAAGTCATAAGAGTGGCAATGTAGAAAGAGAAAGAGATATCAAAATCACTGCTTCCACGCGTCACTATCCACTTGATTTTATTAAAATAACAATTTTCTTGGATAATTTCACTTGACTTTGAGTGAAAAGTGAAAACCATCCATCAAAAAAACTCAGAAATCCCGTGCACCCTGCTTTATGTTGAACCCCATTTGGCTGATATCTGGAATTGCTTATTTCTGAAAGCTCTGTAAACCCAGAAAGGATTATATATTGGCTTGAGTCCTTTTAACTTGAATCATTACCAAATCAACTTAAAATTTCTTCTAATATTCTTTTCTCATGGTGATGAGGCATGTGAGAATTGGCTATCATTGTTAATTTTATAATCTAATTCGATATTGAATCAGATGGTTAAGATGCATCATATATTCTCTTTAATGTATTATATCGTCCATAATTTATAATTATAATGGTAAAAGAATAATTTATAACTTATAATCATTGTCGGGACCATGCATTCTCTGCACGTGGAATCTCAATTATTTGTCATGTTCTTATCTAGATCTAATGTATGAATAAAATTCTTGCTTGAAGCCATTGAACCTTTTTCTTCTTTAACATAATAATATTTATTATTATTAATGTTTCAAAAATCTACTCAAACTATTCAAAAAATAGGGTAAAATACGTAAAGGTCCTCCGATTATAGGGTGATGTTTTGTTGAGTCACCGACTATAGGATGATACTTTGTTGAGTATATCGACTATTAAAAATTAATTTATTGATTGAAATATGATAAAATATGACCACATAACCGTTTAAGTTGTACTTTTTGAATCAACTCTCCATTTACATTATGGTGTTGAGTCAGTACTTGAACCATTATGCTATTGATCCAGTGTTTGAAATCGACGGCAGTATCAATAAACATCATTAAAATAAGATTTTATTATATTCATAATCAGCAGGTTAACGTCTATTTTAGATGACCTTCAATTTTTAACCAGAGAATGATGAGTTTGAAATATATGAATAATCGAGTAATCGTTTTGTAAATTTTAATAGTCGAGGTACTCAATAAAGCAGTATTATATAATCGAGGACAATTTGTGTACTTTACCCTTAGTTTTTCATTTAATTGAATACTTAAAATGATAATGTGACAAAAAAATTAAAATTATATTATTTATTGAAAATTTCAAATAATAAAAGACCAAAAATATTTTTTTATAATGTTATATAGATCTTGTCATGTGACAAGTTATCTAACATAGTTATAATCATATTCTCTTACCTTAATTGCTGAAATAAAATCACTAAGGGACTGTTTGTTTAGCTCTGAATGGAATCATTCATCGTTGAATGTTGAACCGTTCAACATTCAACGTGTTTGTTTCTCACCTCTAAATGATTCTTTGTTGACTGATTCAGCAAAACAGTGCTGAATGATTCAGCACAGAAGTACATTCTGAATGATTCAGAGTCATTATCAAACAACATGTCACATTCAGAGCTTATTCATACAGAGCATCTGAATCATTCATCATTTGAATCATTCAGCACTTAATCATTCTGAAATAAACAAACAACCCCTAAGTAACACCTTAATATTTTTTTTATTATTTTTATTAGATTTTCATATTTGTATCATTATTAAAATTATTTATAATTTAAAATATTTGTTATTATTTCAAATTTTTTATTATTATTTATAATGTATCATGGTTTGGTGGGAGTTAGTAGTGTGCCTTGTATGTTGCCACTAATGGCTTAACATGTGTGATGTGTTTCTTGGATGTACCCCTATTGTGGTTAACAAATGACTACTATTTTGTAGCTTTTTAGAAAACTTATTATTAATATATTAAAACTAATTAAAATGGTTAATGATTAAAAATAATTTTAATAAATAAGATACTTTCAAATAGATTTTTTTGTACGAAATTAAATGAAGTTCAAGTATATAAAACAATATTATATTATATATTAATATTAAAAATATTAATTTAAAGCATATAAAATGTTTTAAAAGGATGGCAAAGAAGCATTTAATTACATCATGTGCAATTAAAATAAGGGTAAATTATACATTTAGTATCTAAATTATCAGTTTTAGTCTATTTTAGTACCTAAACTTTTATTTATTTCAAAATCATATCTAATGTTTAGTTTTTGTTTCATTTTAATATCCCACCCTTAAAAATTTAACGCGTTTAGTACTTGAACTATCATTTTTGGTCCGTTTTAGTACTTAAACTTTCAAAAAAAATTCAAAACTTAACGTTAAGTTTTTAACAAGAGTAGTAAACTGAAATAAAAACTACACGTTATGTATAATTTTTAAAAATTAAAAATTTAGGTACTAAAACGGACTAAAACTGATAATTTAAGTACTAAATGCATAGTTTACCCTTAAAATAACCTTTATGCTTGCGGCATTTTGAAACATAAACATTCACTCAATATCATTCGATGGATGTTAATCTTTAATTATATTAATTGATTTAACTCAATGTTACTATTCACATTAACATGTTTAACTCCGTACTTATAAAAGGGACAAAGTTATTACTCTACTTGTACTAATTCAAACTCATTTTAGTCTTTTATATTTTTAAAATGATTAAAGAAATAATTATGTTATTTTAATATATTATCTAATTATTAAACTTTAAACATATATAACATAATATATTTATAATATAATATTATATATTAGTAAATTTAACTTCTGCGACATAAATTTATAAATTACATATAATATAATATATTATAAACTTAAAAAATAATCGGATCTGAACATTGATAGTTGGAGTTCAAATTCCGTTCATATTTTAAATGGTATTTTTTTGGGTCAAATTTATTTTTTTAATCTAATATTTTTAGCATAAATTCTTTTAAATTTTATATGAATAGATCGATGATTTAATAGGTCTAATAATATCATATTATCTTCTCTTCATCAAGCTCTTTTCTGCTTCATAGTTGAGGAGCTTTAGATTAAATAAATAAATAAATCTATTTAAATTTTATTATAAGGTATTATAAATAATTTTATAAATACTTATAAGAAAACTCTCATTTACCATTTTTTTAAGGGGACGTTGTTTTGTAAGCATAGGAAAATTAAAATAAATTAAACACTTACCACCAATAATCGATTGATCTATTAGGATAAGACATTAGATCCCTTTAGTAAGGTTAAGGGTATCCAAATTATTTGAATTAAAATTTTATTGAGCAAAAAAGAATAATATAAACTTAATTAATATTAGTACAAATTACATTTGGGTTCATGTTTATCTTTTTCAATAATATCATTTTTAAAATTTAAAATTTTATATTTATTAAAGAAATATTATTATTTTATATATTAACATTAAAAAATATTCCAGAAATACATATATTTAAATATCATTTCACATATTTATATAATATTAAATTTAAAACCCCTTTAAATTGAATAAATGACAACATTAAGTATTTTTGAAAAATTAAATAAATTGATTATTGGATCACGTTTTTTAAAAAATTAAATATTTTCATTTTCATTTACACGTATTTAATTGGATAAATGACTACCTCCTTGAACTTTTAGGCCAATCAAATTAGGAAGCGGCGGAACGTATAAAATCATAAAAGCAAAAGCAAGAGACAATAGCCTGCTTATACACAACAATATCTTAGTCAGATAGAAGTCAAATATTAGGGACTTATTTGGATACCACTTAAAGTTTAAGGGTCTATTTAGATGTGACAAAAGTACAAGGGTTCATTTACATGAAGTGACAAAGTGTAAGGACTTATTTAGAATACTTTCCTTGCGGTTGCAGTTATATTGGTTCCGAATTTAAGTAACACACCAGAAGTGAGACAAACAAGTAGAATCTTGGACAAAAGGCATTTCCACTAACATTTGTTTTAAAAGAAGGATCTGTTTAAACTTATTTTTCGGGCAATATAATGTTACAGGTGCAAGCTTATAAGCATTTATCCTCCTCTCCTAATTTCTGAGTTCAAAACGGAATGTAAACCTTACCCAGGAACCCGAAATCCGAAGAAAGAGGTGACTCGGTCCTTCCTGCAGGTGCTTCGAAGTCATTTGAACAATACTAAACTCGTATCAAATGGATCTTTTCTTTTTCTTTATTCTACAAGTGAAATACAAAGGGCAACAGCCATGCCGGATGTTAGTGACATTAATTGCACTGCAGTATTTTTCAAGGTTGTTTTGCCATTGTTATTCATCTCTGCAAGCACTCCAGCAACGGCAATGTATATAAATCCACCGGCCGTAAACCCCTGCAAGAGAGGAAATAACCAAAAAATATTGTACACTTGAGCCCATGACAACCAGAAGTAACAATTGAACATGACTTGCAGGTCTCCCTATTACCTCGATCAACGATGATTGTCCCGGATCTTGTCCCCAAAGCAAAGCCTACAGGAAAAGCAACAAAATTTAACCTCCTGCCTATTATTGTAAGTAATAATTGCATTAGCTCCGAATATACGGACCATAGCAGTTCCTGCTAGTGCCACTAGCGCCGAAAGAAAGTTGAAGAACAGGGCTTTGGAAACACTGAAACCAGATCTTACCAATATACCAAAATCGCCAATCTGCAGTGGAATAAAACAAGCCATGGAAGTCGAATAATATATCAGGTTATCCCAAAGAAAAAAATTCAAACCACACTTTTTAAATTATTCCATATTATATATGCTCCTATTTTTATCACGGTGGTGGATGCAGTCATACATTACAATCGATGGATTTTGTGTCTGAGTGCAGGTGTGTGCATGGCAGGGAGTGCCATGGAAGGGTTAGTAAAGAAGGTAATGTAGTTTTCTTTTCACTCAAGATAAAACAGAGTGCCTACTTGTCTTTGATGGAATCCATAGGAAGCGATCAAATTAAATCTCATATTGAACTTGAACCATAAGAACTAATAGAATAACCTTAACGCCTTTTTTGTTTGTAGGGGCTATGCAGAAGACAGGGCAAGAATCCTAGCGTCTCACCCCTAGGGCGTGGTTATTTACAAATTTAAAGGACATCTTTAGGATGGCATAAATTACTCTCATCAAAATAAAGGAACTCAAACCTCTTGGGGAAGCTCATGTGCAAGCAAAAATAAAGTTCTGGACCACCCACCAACAGATCCATGAAGCAAAAACGCACTTCCTAAAGCCATCCCATCTGTAAAATTGTGCTGCAATAGCAAAAAATTAACATCTAATTAAATAAAATATTTCCACTCAATCCAGTATAAATAAACTGATAAGAACTGTTATTCAAGGACAAGAACATTAAATTTAATAAATACTCAATTTATACTTACAACGCCATCAGAGAATAGATTAAGATAGCCAAAAACCAGGTTCGATTGTGAATGGGATGTTTCCTTTTGTACCAAAGTTTTAACATTATTTGCACAGCCATCTGCAGGATCGATATCTGATTTACTGTCACTGGTACCAGCAGAACTCTTTCTCTGTTGGATGAATTTCAAAGGAAATATCAATGGTCATTAGAACTCTTCAAGTGTTCTATGTCAATGTTATCACTTTTTGTCAAGTTCAATCTTCCTTCTTATAAACAACTTAAAGGGATTTAATTTCTAAAACGGGCAATTTATCTTTACAGGTAATAAATGTTATATACAAGATAGAAACAGATAAAGGACAATTTTTATCGGTCAATTAGATGTGTTTGATGGTTCACACACACATATCTACAACTCATGCAGTGCAATTAAGTTTCAGCTCCAGAATTTATAAAAGTGGCATAGCCAGCAAACATGTATACCCAACCTCAGTTGTATGAATACAACATACCTCCAATAGTCCAATGTAAATATTTAAACCCTACCTTCCTGATTTCAGGCTCAGTTGCATTATCTACAATTGAAGAGTCGTCTGATATGTCAGGTTGCGAACTGTTGTCATGAGCAGCAGCATCGGCATCATTTTTCAATTTTTTATTGCTCTTGTGATGATGGTGATGATGACCATGGCTCCAACCACTAGCCCCTCCAGAGTTTTCTTCGACATATCTGACCAGCTTTTCAACAAGAAGAAAGAGTACTATCCCAGCTGTGACATACAGAAATACCAACATGACAAGAGCACCCAAAATAAGATTAAGTTAAGAAGATAGCCTTTTATGACGTCATTTGAATCAACATACGTGCATGTCTGCAAAGTATTACAATATCACCTGTTCCAAAGCAGATAAATGCCTCTTCCACTTTCTAGAGTAACAGATTCCACAGGAAATTATGCAATACAAAAGTTCATAAGATTTCAAATGACAGGTTTTCAAAACAAAGTCTAGCTCAAGCAAAAGCCAAAATGCGACCTCTCCAACAAATCTAGCTATAGAAAAGTTTCTCATCAGGCTTTCATTAAAAATTAGTTGGCACACGCAAAGACAAAAGAACATATTGAGCAAAACCTAAATGTGCAATATCTCACACTCTCATATTTGCTTTCCTACAAAAACTAACACTTTCCACCAAGCATTATTTCTTTTCAGCATAGCAAAAATCCTTCAATGGATGTCCTTCTGAATTATACAAGTCTAACTGCTTGGAAAACATGAAACATTTGGTTCATCCATCTATGATATGCATTCGGATTTTCAATAGTGATATTATTGAACAAGAAATTTCTTACATCAGTGCAGATATAAAGAAATGATAAGACTAGCCTAGCATGTTTCCCGCATATTCATGCATATATACACAAACATGCACACTTTTCTTATATATTGCTAATTACCAAGAACAGACAAGCCCACAGAAAGGTCCTTCAAAGAGTGTGCATGCGTATGATCATGTCCAGTATGATCATGATCCACGAAGTCAGCATGTGAGTGGGAGTGCCCACCACCTGCAGACAGTTTATTATAGCAAGTGACTTATCTAATTGCATAATTCAACCAGAAAACGATTACACAGACTGCCCTTACACGAATTCTGTCAACTTGTTTGGGATCAGAATTTAAGATTTGACTTTTTTTAATAAGATAAATAAAAGCATCAAGGAGATATAGAAAGAAAAAGCCTAACAATAATGCTTTGGCTAGCAAATCTCCCCATAATTTCACATATTCTATATGATCACGTTATGATTTTCATGAGAAGAGTTTTGATGCATCACTAACATGTTGATGGACCTTGGGAGCCTCAGACTAATGCTGAAGACACTTTGGTCCATAAATCTACTTAGGCTACTCAATAGTTACAGCTCCAGTTGCAATTGTAGTTGTAGGCCTTTTTGTTTGGTTGGATAATAAGGTAACTTGCATTTGCAAAAACAAACCGAAGTCACAGTTCATTGGGAACATGTTTTATGTGAGGTCATATTAAGGAGACGCCAATCTTTGATTATTTTACATTTACCCCCTCCCCTGAATCAAGAATGCAAAAAATTCCTTTTTCAACAACCATTGAATCATTTAAACATCGAAAGCATGCAGGGCGTATATTGCTTCTGAAAGGCAAGCAGTAGCCAGGAAGTTCAAATAGCATCCCTGTAACTGAACACCCAAAACCACCAAATGGCTTCCAGATGGAATTAAATTCTGTGGCCTCCCTTGTCAGGACTTAGGACATACTCAACAGTGTAAAAGATGTAAATGCAAAGTAAATGCAAAGTAAATCTCTCACTGACTGTCAAGGAACTTGAAGTATATGAATTATATTGATCCTAGAACTGGAACCAAAATTCATGTATTAACGCCTTTGAATATACCACAAAAGCCATGGCTCTAACCACATGTTGTTTGATAAACCATAAATTTAAGTTATAAAATATATTTGGTTTATTACTTAAAATTACGGAATATAATTAGACTATTTGATAAATGTAAACTTTTAAACATTTCACGTTATTTTAAACAAAGATAAATTTAAACGTAAAATATTAATTGAAAAATATTTTCCATTCAGAGACAAGTAGCTCCTTATCTATTTATAATTTTCCACACTTTTTTATAGAAAAAAATATATTAGGTGATTTTTAGTATGAATTATCAAATGTGTTTAAAAAATTAAATCAACTGATTATAAGTTTATACGTGAGAAAAATCATACCAAATGAATGCGGCAGCTGGTGAAGAAAAGCATCTCCCAACATAGCTCCTGCCTGTAATATTAAGGTACAACAAAATGTAGAAAACTATTTAAGAGAGAGAGAGAGAGATTATTGAATAATGAGATCTGAATATTGCTCAACCCAGAACTACAAAAGAGTTATATTGTTCAAGTACACAGCAGATGTTATCTTCAAAATATTAACTCAAAATTTCATGTCAGATAAAAGGTTTGAAGAGTCTAACCCCAAATAAAGCCAGGGAATCAACAATTGCCTTGGATGGTTTTCCTTGTACTGCAATAAAATAATCAAATTTTGAGCTCCGTTATCAGGAATAATATCTTTAACGGGAAAAGAAAAAAATAATTCAGCAGAAAATAAAACTGAAGTGAAGACCAAATATATAAATAATCATGCTTAAAAATTAACTTACTGAATATCACAGGTAAAATAATCAGGCAAATAAGGGAAGCCAAGCTTACTAAGAGCGAACATCCCAATGCACGTAACCAAAGGCCTGCAAAACATATGTCCAAATAAGGCTGAAACCTCACACCAGAATTGCATCAATTATGTGAACTCGACACTTGTTGGATGTTGAACAACAAAATTGCAAAAATCAAGAGGATAACAGCATCCAGAGGAGTGCAGAATTACAACACGACAATCAATCAGAACCGAAAAAACAAAATCCAAAAGCATCATACCGATATTAGCATTAAACTCGATGGTTGGCAGCCAAAGATTTTCTGAACTACCACCTTGGCGACCATTTAAGAAGCAGAACTCAACCGAGTCTACCAGTCTAGTAAAAGAATGAAGTTTCTGGAATGCATAATAGATATTAATGCAAAATCTTCTCCGATTAATTTATCCAGCACACCAAATAAAAGGGCAACAGTACAAAGCAAGAGTTAATTTACTGAACATACTTAAGCTCGCATCACATTGAAGAAAAGATATGTACCACTATATTGTAAAATTACATTATAACACGTAGCCTACTTCAAGGGAATAACACCTTCACAATAAGACCTAAACCAAGGTGGCATTCCCTTCAACATTTGCTAGAAAACACTACGCATAATTTGCCTCAGGGACAAATGGCTAAATGATAAGTGTTAGAAGCTTATACAGAGTGATTAAACCCAGCATTTCAAGCTGACTCTAGCACCTCACCCATAACAAACCGACATGCAGTGGAAGCTTAAACCCTAAACCCATAGCAACTAACTGATACAAGGTCCAAGCTTAAAACCGGCTACAGACCAGATTTCATTATCGACTTTTCTGCTACAAGCGCATACACCAGCTGAATTAAACGCGATAGGCCAGTACAATCTACCTTAAAAGGGGGAACTCTGCCCACCTCAAGTAAAATTCAATCCAACAACTTGATTAAAACTGCTATCCTAATCTCATACCTCTCCACTCATTTAGAGCTGTACTACAGCCATCCTCTTCCTTCACATTCAATCATATCAAACATTTTAGGAAATCAGAATAAACTAAACAATATTACATAAAGCGTCCTACTTCCAAACTATATCTCTAGATTAGCAGATATCGATGGCTGGTTAATCAGTGGGTAACTATAATCAAGCTGATTTAAGTCGATAAAATTAAGAACGCATATTTAAAAGAAAAGCTTTTCACTCAGAACTTAAGTCAAACTCCAAAAAGCTTCTCCTTTTCCATTCAAACTCAACTTAAGAAGGCATCAAATATACTGCAAAGTAAAGAAGTTCCATTTAAATTTACCTGAATTGGAGAGCTCGTGATCGTGATCATCCCGATAGGGCCCAAATCCATACAATTTCATGTCTTCTTCCTCAGCCAACTCCTCCGGTAACATCATCTTCTTCCTCTCTTCCTCCGCCTGGCGGTGCTGATGATGGCCATGATCATGGTTATGGGAATGATGGTGGTGGTGGTGGTCATGCCCACGTCCATGTCCGTGATCACAATGGTGATGATGCCCATGGTCACTGTGCGCCGGCGACATACCGTACCCACTCCCGACACACAGATCCAAACTCACCAAAACCAAAAACACCACCAAAAAGATCGGTGTTTTCTCAAACCCCATTTTCCTCCCTTCCAAAATTATAAAAACCCACTTTTTACTGGCTTTTTCTAGTGAAATTGAAAACAAAAAGAGTTAAGATTGGAAAACAAAAGAGAAGAAAGAAAACAGCAAGAAATTGGAAAAAAAAGAATAAATACCCAAACTAAGAACGGCGTTTGCAAGTGCCTTCAATGGTGATGAAACAAACAATGACTAAAAAAACCAGGATTAGGGCTACTATGATGCCGAAGGTTACTACATCCATTTTGTGTGCGTACTACTTAACGAGATAAACCTTAGCTTTCCATTCTTGCAAGTAAAAATTAAATATTTTATTCAGATTTCTGACAGACGAAATTAAAATGATAAATCTTTTTTCTATACCAATTTTGACACTTTTTATTGTGGAATTATTATTGGAATGGCATGATGACAATATAATAATTAGGGACAATATTGTAATTATATAAATATTTGGTGGACCACATTAGTAGATTTAATGAGTAATGAAATGCGGGAACTTCTACAATAAAAAAATATATTAAAATGAGCATTTTCTAATAAAAAGCCTAATTTAAGACAAATTAGTAAAAACGTAGTAATTACCAAAAAAAATACATATTGAGCTAATATTTTCTTGTAAATTATAATTCTGTGTAATTATAAAAAATGTATTAGAAATTGTAATTTTTATAGTAAATTACATAAAAAAATTTATATTTGATATTTTTTTATATTTGAAAACTCTAACAAAGTTGATAAAACAAAATTCATAAAACTCAGAATTTCATTTCGGAGCACAAGTTCTCAAAGTTTCAAGAAAAAAAAATCAAAGCATCCCCTTCGTAAAGATCTATATAAACACATAGGGATGAAGTTTCCTGTGGTAATATATGAATGACAAAACTCTAATCCAGTTAAAAATCAAAGTTCGGGTTAGAAACGATCGCCTGAACACGCATGCGCGAATTCGATGCAGTCGAGAATTCTCGGAAGCTCATGCGATCTATATGCAATGTTTTAAAACCAAATGCACCAGCAGGATTTGGGAAAAAGTTAGCCAAAAAAGTTCAGTCGGCTCGTGTTCCTCAGTCTTGGTTTTGTTCGCTTTTCCGATGCAGGTGCAAGGTGTTTGGCTACGAGTCCGAGAGTGGTTGGACTTTGAAGAACTTGGCTACTGCCTGGTAGAGATTTTCTTCCTCAAAGGGCTTCGTGACATATCCATCCATCCCACATTTAAGGCACTCGTCATAGGTGGCCTGAATTACATCAGCCGTCATGGCTAATATCGGGACATGCCACTCGCCTTTCCGGACCAGCCCTTTGTCAATGCCGCCTCCATTCATTTGTCCATTTGCTTGACTCTCCATCATTCAAATCCGACGGGTTGCCTCGAACCTGACATAAAAGTTGATGATATTATATAACAGCAATATATAAACACTTCTTTCTCCTTTTAGTTTTGGTATTTTGATCGACGAGGAAGATATAACACACATAATTACATACCCGTCCATTTCCGGCATCTGAATGTAAATGAAGCATGCGTCGAAACAGTGCGGAATCTGAAGCAGTTTTAGTGCAAATTTTCCACTCTCGGCACATTCCACGGCAGCTCCAAACTTCTTCAATGCACCAGCAGCAACTCTCCGATTTACCATATTGTCATCGACTACTAATATTTTCTTTCCACAAAGAAAACTCCGAAGAGATCCATTCTGTGAGTCTTTTACCGCCTGCCTCTTCTTACCGATCCCAAGTACCTGTTGAAGACATGCAGCCACCATACTTGCCCTCATAGGTTTCAAAATCGTAGTGTCTGCAAAACCGGCTGCCTTTGCTTTCTCAAGCTCGGCATTAGTAATATTTGTGGCAAAAAGAATAATTTTAGGCAACTTAAACGTATGTCCATTCTGTTTCCAGTCCAACATCCTTAAGCTCAAATCGATATCCTCTCCAGAAAGCCATAGATCTTTCTCGACAAGAATTATATCTGGCTGAAATTTACTTCTGCAATATGCAACTAACTTGGAACATTATATCGGTGTAGGAAGTGTAGTATTTGGGATCAAGGAGAGCATTTTCCTTGATAAGATTTTCTCGACATCTAAAAATAACTCTAAATAGAAATTCGACTTACACGCATGAAGAGCCGTTTTTCCCACATGCAGAAACTACTGTCTTTACGCTACTTGCAATCTCAGCGAGTATACCAAGTCTCTTCAAGTGGTATCGAGTTACGACAGCTCTAACCGGTTTTCCATCAACTACTATTGCTTTCAATCCTCGGAAGGTAGAAGGAAGACCGCTTTTCATATCATTAAACGAAGCCTTTTTACATCTCCCAAAATCTGCGGTGAACGAGAATGTGCTTCCGACTTGTAGCCGACTAATGAAGCTTATGTGACCACCCATTAGCTCAACCAAACACTTGGTAATGCTCAAGCCTATACCCGTCCCACCGTAATTTCTCGAAGTTGAACTATCTGCCTGCATAAACGGCATGAAAACCCTGTCTGGGCAACTAAAGGGATCCCAATACCGGTATCCTCCACAGATACCATCAAAGTGACGCTCTGAGAAGTTTCACCAGGAACCGTCATGTTTATCGAGGCATCGTATTGTGACTCTTCATAGGAAACTAAATGCTTGAAGGAGTCCCAACTGTTCCGCTCATCGGCTGCTTCATAACCACTCAAGGTTGTAAACTGGTGTGCACCTGATATCGGCACACCTTCATCCGACCATCCATTCAAACAAGTTTCAGCTTTTTCATCGACTTCAGGCTTTCTGTTTTCTGCTAGATGAACTTTAACAAATATGTGTCCCCGTTCTGTAAACTGTCAAAAACACAATTATAAACAATTACCAACTTGTTAAAAAGATTCAATAGACTTGATTAAGTAGATAACCGTCCAAGAAAAGGGGCATGCCGAAAATTAACATGTACTTGTATTACTCGCTTGGGTGAGAGTATCAGGGGAATATATGTCCAAGATGGGTATGTTCATGCTCGTGTTGGGATATGTGTTGGATATAGGTACTTTAAGAAAAATGAAAAGTCGGACCAACATAGGTCATAGATATATACCACCTACTGAGTGCCAAAATGAGCGAAGATAGCAACAGACTTACTTTAACAGAGTTCCCAACAAGATTAGTAATAATCTGTCGGAATCTTCCGGGATCTCCCATAACCATTTCTGGAACCTTATCCGAAACAAAGACAACCAACTGCAGTTCCCAAACAACTACACCGTATTCGAGTCATTGTATGCATCAGGAACATCACCATTTGTCGATGTCAACAATCCACCAAAATGGAGGAAAACAGAAGAAAAAGAAGGCACCTAGTTAGTTCAAGCATTTATAAACTATAAGGCTTTTCCTTCTCCTAGCATAGGCATCCCCTGTGCCTTTAGGAACTAAATAAACCAAAAAATGAAGCATTAGATTTTTCCATTAATTTTATCTAGAATTACCTCGACACCTTTGTTCCTAGATTTTTCAGAAAATAAAAACAGCACATCATCTAGGATAGATCAAAGGTTGAAGGGGACAGTTTCCATCTCCAACTTTCCAGCTTCGATTTTTGGCTCGGTCAAGTACCTCGTTTATCAATGTTATCAGTGCCTTTCCACAGACTTGAGAGGTCTGAGAGTAATCCCTTTGAGTTGAACTTAAATCCGTATCCAAAAGCAAAGCAAGCATCCCTACAACCACTGAAAAAGTCATCAAAACATTGCTGCTTAAAATCAGTTAATGCCCTCAAATGTATATTTCAAAGAAAACTTGAGATACACGGAACATACCGAGGATACCATTCATGGGAGTCCTAATTTCATGAGAAACTGTTGCTAAAAACTGCTGCAAGAATGCTTCGTAATTAGTTTTGGCTTGGAAATTAGTAGACAACAATTTGTTGGTTGATGTACTTAAAAACATACTTGCGATTTGGCAACATCTGCAGCTTCGGCTCGAACCTTCGGCTCTTGCATTTCGTGGAAATCATCTTCAACTTTAACAATGTGTATAGCGGCACCATATAAGATATAGCCAACTAATAAGCATATCACAAAGAACAAGAAAGCGGTGGTCAGCGCCGTCCACGATGTAGGTGCCTTCTGATGATATCTGCTCGAAAAAGTCGATAACTAAGCCACTTATAAAATCAATGGCTTTCATTCCGTAAACCTCATGAAAAACTAACCAATTTTTCACTCACCTACATATCATTGTATGCTTCCTGAACGGATCTCCGAAATCGAGCTTGCTTTCATACAACAGAGCCAAGTCACCATCTTCATTTTGGTGGCCATACATGATCAAGTGATCAGAAGAGTTAGTAATGTCATATACATTCACTAGAATCGCTTGATTTCCAGCAAGTTGTCCGAGCAGATTCTCCACCAGAGACTCCACATCAAAGGCTCCACCGAGGTATGTGTTACAGGTTACTTTTTATGCATAAAAAATCTACAATTCACTAATAAAGAAATGAACTAACAGAAGCAATTAGGCCTGTTTTTTTAAGCAAAAAGTATGAACTGTACATTTTTGGATTCACTTACCTACCTACGAATAACCAACTCCATCAGCATTGATAACATTAAGTCTAAACCGTTTTTTCCCATTTGAAGTGTTCTTTATAAAACAATTGCATTTGACATAGACTTTAAACTTTTCTTATAATCACTCTCAAACTATCTAGTGTCGTTTTTCAGTTTGACCGATAAATTTCAAAACTATGTCGAATATATTCACTAACTCTTGTATGCAAAAGCCTACGACTTACCCCGCAGTTCTTCGATGCGCTCTTCCACAGTCGGCCTTGTTGGGAGCTTGAATTTGTAAACGGGCAATGTCAACACAACACCAAGATGATGGGAACCGAGAAGCCTGAAGGGGCTAGTTAGGACAGCTTTCCCAGTAGCCCTAGCCCTTAAGATGTTTTCTCTGTCTTTCTGCGCAAAGCAACATGGACAATGTGACTTGAATTTAATACCGAATTTAAATATTAAACTTTAGGTAAAAGCTTAGAACTTATAAGCAGATTGAATATAGCAAACCACATGCCTCCCCAGACATCATATCAAGCGATTTGATATAGGAAACGGTTTGTTGAGAGAGTATCACCGGAGCATACTCGTCTCGAACAGGAGAAGGTTCCCTCTGCATCGTCTTTATCGACCAGCCATGCTGCCTCTCAAATTCCTCCCTCTCTGAGTGCGCTACTCTTTCTGCATAGGCCACCCCACTCAGCAATGGCCTCTCGAACGCAGTTCTTTCAGTATACTCAGCAAAAGTCTCCTGTA